TGTTCTGTATCTATGGATCTATGGACGCGACCCAGTCGTTCAGTCTCTTTGTTCTGTATCTATGGATCTATGGACGCGACCCAGTCGTTCAGTCTCTTTGTTCTGTATCTATGGATCTATGGACGCGACCCAGTCGTTCAGTCTTTTTGTTCTGTATCTATGGATCTATGGACGCGACCCAGTCGTTCAGTCTTTTTGTTCTGTATCTATGGATCTATGGACGCGACCCAGTCGTTCAGTCTCTTTGTTCTGTATCTATGGATCTATGGACGCGACCCAGTCGTTCAGTCTTTTTTGTTCTGTATCTATGGATCTATGGACGCGACCCAGTCGTTCAGTCTTTTTGTTCTGTATCTATGGATCTATGGACGCGACCCAGTCGTTCAGTCTTTTGTTCTGTATCTATGGATCTATGGACGCGACCCAGTCGTTCAGTCTTTTTGTTCTGTATCTATGGATCTATGGACGCGACCCAGTCGTTCAGTCTTTTTGTTCTGTATCTATGGATCTATGGACGCGACCCAGTCGTTCAGTCTTTTTGTTCTGTATCTATGGATCTATGGACGCGACCCAGTCGTTCAGTCTCTTTGTTCTGTATCTATGGATGCGACCCAGTCGTTCAGTCTAAATGTTCCATTGCCATTCTGCGTGGCAACGTTCTTATCCCTTGCTTGCTAGCTAGCCAACTACAGCTAACTGACAGTCACGTCGAAAAGTTCTGACAGATTAACAGCAAAGTAGCTGCATTTGTTTAAGCTGTTTTCTAGTGACATTTATTTGGATACATCCATAACAATGAGCTAATGAGCCACGATTTCGCCTGGCGTAGAGAATGTGCTCTCTGGTCAGGACACTGTTGTTCAGAGGAGCTAGCCAACAACACAGCTACACAATCACTTCAAACTGAAGCTGGAAAGACTGCAAATTAGCTGGACATTTTTTTTGTATATATCCATAGAAATGATGCCAGCTGATTCATGATTTAGACCGGCTGAGAAATGCTGCCTGCCTGTCTGTCTCGTCCCGACCCCGACACGTTCATTTCAATGGGACAGCAGGAGATATAATTTGAATATTGAAACAATGTTGCAAATATCGGAGAGACTAAGAGCAAGGTTTATACAAATCTCCGCTGTTGAAAACTAAATGTTAGTCTAAAAGAAATGTGAGATAATGTCCAGATGCTTTGTATAGTGGAGATCAAGTTTATAAATTGCCTGGCTGGGCTGATGAGACAGTGGATTGGGCAGTCAGATGGAACAGAGTAAATAGGCATTTTAACGTCATAGATTTAGCCGGTGGTAACTTGTGGAAGTAACTTGTGAAAAAGACATCGGCTGGAATGCTGTTTTAACCAATCAGCATTCAGGACTAGACCCACCCGTTGTATAATATACTGTACTGTACTGTACTCTACTCTACTCTACTGTACTCTACTCTACTGTACTGTATACTCTACTCTACTCTACTCTACTCTACTCTACTCTACTCTACTCTACACTACTCTACACTACTCTACTCTACTGTACTTGAGTTTCTTACAATTTAAGAAAGGGCCTATGGACTCTTAATCTAGTGGTCTTGGTCTTGAGACCACTCAAGACCACATACATTTGGTCTTTAACTTGTCATGGTCTCAACTTATTGGGTCTTGGTCTGGATCTTGGGACCAATGTCCTGGCATAAATCTCGGTTTTAGTCTTTGGTTTACAATCCATAGGCAACCCAATTTGAAGAAGACAATACTCTCTGATCACTCCCAACCAATAGGAATCCTCACCCAGTTGACTACTTTTAAATGGTGGAAGCCCTCAATGTCAGTGTCTATACTAAAACAAGTTTTATCCATCTCGAGTCCTCCATTTATCTCTATGATTGACACTTGACACCAAAACGTCTGCTATTTTGCCAACATAAAGATAGGTTTAGTGATCATTGAAACATCCAACAACATAATTAATTAGATGTATATGTAATTCAATCAATATACATGTTTCAGATTCATACAATTAAAACTTAACATTTTATGGAGAACAATAGATGATACTTCTCTAAATTCAATTTAAAGGTTTAGAAAATCAGGTAAAAAATCATGTTTTTACTATTTAGTTAATTTGGTATGCAAATAACATTTTTGAAATGTATCTGTAAAATAAGTTAATCCAAATGATCACTGCTGTGGATGGCTCTCCCTTTAGCTGTGGACGGCTCTCCCTTAAGCTGTGGACGGCTCTCCCTTTAGCTGTGGACGGCTCTCCCTTTAGCTGTGGACGGCTCTCCCTTTAGCTGTGGACGGCTCTCCCTTTAGCTGTGGACGGCTCTCCCTTTAGCTGTGGACGGCTCTCCCTTTAGCTGTGGACGGCTCTCCCTTTAGCTGTGGACGGCTCTCCCTTTAGCTGTGGACGGCTCTCCCTTTATTGCTACTTCTTCACTATGTTGTTTCGGTAGTGACACATTTTGTGGTGTGGTAGGGAATTCAGGTAAATATTTCAAATATGCAGTAAGTGTGTGAATAATATACGGTATATTCCTACCTGAAATACACTACTGTACATATACAAAAGTATATGGACACCCCTTCAAATTAGTGGATTTGGCTATTTCAGCCACACCCGTTGCTGACAGGGTGTATAAAATTAAGCACACGTCCATGCAATCTCCATAGACAAACATTGACAGTAGAATGGCCTTACTGAAGAGCTCAGTGACTTTCAACGTGGCACCGTCATAGGATGCCACCTTTCCAACAAGTCAGTTCGTCAAATGTCTGTTTGGAACTCGGTAGTGAGTGTTGCATCTGAGGACAGACGAGCTTTACACCACTCCAGCCGACGCTTGGCATTGCGCATGGTGATCTTAGGCTTGTGCCAAGCATCGGCTGGAGTGGTGTAAAGCTCGCTGCCATTGGACTCTGGAGCAGTGGAAATGCGTTCTCTGGAGTGATGAATCACCATCTGGCAGTCCGAAGGACAAAATCTGGGTTTGGCGGATGCCAGGAGAACCCTTCCTGCCCCAATGCATAGGGGCAACTGTAAAGTTTGGTGGAGGAGGAATAATGGTCTGGGGCAGTTTTTCATGGTTCGGGCTAGGCCCCATAGTTCCAGTGAAGGGAAATCTTAATGCTACAGCATACAATGACATTCTAGACAATTCTGTGCTTCCAACTTTGTGGCAACAGTTTGGGGAAGGCCCTTTCCTGTTCCAGCATGACATTCCCCCGTGAACACAGCGGGGTCCATACAGAAATGGTTTGTCGAGATTGGTGTGGAAGAACTTGACTGGCCTGCACAGAGCCCTGACTTCAACCCCACCGAACACCTTTGGGATTAATTGGAAAGTCAACTGCGAGCCAAGCCTAATCACCCAACATCAGTGCCCAACCTCACTAATGCTCTTGTGGCTGAATGGAAGCAAGTCCCCTGCAGCAATGTTCCAACATCTAGTGGAAAGCCTTCCCAGAAGAGTGGAGGCTGTTATAGCAGCAAAGGGGGGACCAGGGGTGGTGTGTTCATTAGGGCGATATGGGCGACGCACTGCCAAACGGGAAAAGGAAGGGATTTTTTTCCTAATCAATTATATCACGGCAACAGTAGTTATCAGTGTTCTAATCTAGACGTCTGATCTGCCACTAAATGTCCAATCAGGCTAAAGTCGTGCTTCAAATGGCCCCGCCCCTTTTGGGGCGATTTCAGTCAGGTTGAAAATCGCCCCAGAAGTCTCTCATAGACTCTCATGTAAAATCTTTTTTTTTTCAAATATCAGAGCTTTCAATACAATCTCTATGGGTTCCGGGAGGGCTTGCACTTACGCGCTTTCGTCATACGTAACATAACCATGAACGTAACTAAGAAAAGAGCGGGTAGCAGCGTCAATCAATTCACGTACTACTGTCAAAATGGCTAGCGTTCAGTGCAACTCGATTGTCTCTTTGAAAAAAGTTCCTTTTTGTCGGCGAACAAATCAAGATAAATTGGCAACGAAACAATTAGGACCTCCCAGACCAAATTTAATAATTCAACAGGTTTCTACTAAAGGGGGAAAGTCCTACACCCGAGGATTTTCCAAAAATTGGTACGAACGAAAAACCTGGCTAGCAGGCTGCGATGTAGCTAATGCAGTCTTCTGCTACCCCTGCTTACTCTTTCACCCTGAAGGCGGCACGGCAGACAGCACCGCTTGGACAGCGACTGGTGTAACGGACATGCACCATCTTTCAGAAAAGATTAAGAAACATGAGCTGTCAAAGACCCACATGGATAGCTGTTTGAGATTGTCTGCTTTGGGGAGAGTGAACATTGCCACTCAACTGGATGAGGGATACAGGCTAGCTGTCCGCCGCCACAACGATGAGGTTAGCAAGAACCGCCACATCCTCAGCCGGCTAATCCAGTGTGTGAAGTTTTGCGGAGTGTTTGAGTTAGCTTTGCGAGGCAAAGATGAAACTGAGGGCTCCACCAACCCTGGTATTTTTCTTGGACTTTTTATGGAAATGCATATTGTTTATGCAGTGTTGAGGAATGTGAAAGAACACCCTTGACTCAAGAAAATGACTCAAGTAAAAGTGAAAGTAACCCAGTAAAATGCTACTTGAATAAAATTATAAATATACTGAAGTAGTACATTTATAATTTTATTCAAGTAGCATTTTACTGGGTTACTTTCACTTTTACTTGAGTCATTTTCTCTTAACACAAATAAATGGACTAAAATAAAGTCAGGCTATGAATCCATAAGGTTACCTGCTGTAAAGTTGGCCCGGGTCATTTTGTTGTTGTTGAAATAAGGAATTCCAGTGGGCGTGGCCTAAAACGGATCTTTCTGGTTCATCCCCATTTCTTAAGTGAAAGACGGACCATTTATGGCAGCCGGGCCAGTTGAGCCTGCTCTGTGATTGTCCCATTAGGCAGGTGGTTTTTATTAAAGGAGTGGCTACGGTTCCGGATTAATAGAATGATCAGCCTACCACTGGCTTGGTTCTGACTGGGGGAGGAGCTCACAGCCTTCAATAAAATGCGTATGTAGGCCTTATTGGTTTCTAGCAGTCTGAACTGGTCTTTACTGGTGTTGGGGTAAACGTTCGACAGTAGAATAACTTCTTTGTAAGATGGCTCGGTCCGTAAGCAGTTGTTTCATTACTCTGGTCGTTCTGTTCCTTTGGCGGGTCGAAGACGTCGCAGAAGCTTGCAGATGCATGATGTTCCATCCTCAACAGGCTGTTTGCAGAGCAGATGTCGGTAAGGCAAATGTGGCGTACTTTCTGACCTCTAGTTTCTCTTCACAGGCTGCCTACAACACGCATCATACAACATTTTATGAATTCTCTGTGGTCGTTGTGATAACATTTTCTAGAACATGAGGATTAGACCTATATTTACACCTTAAGTAAGTTGGCAACAGTAAGATGGGATACACCTGGGGTGTATTCATTACGGAAGATGGGATACACCTGGGGTGTATTCATTACGGAAGCAGGTGGTACCTACCTGAATTTGTCCGATAGAAACTGGTTTCCGTTTTGAGTAAACAGTTCTGTTGCAAGACGTTTTGCTACAGGCTTTGGTGTAATCATTACACCCCAAGTGTTATATTTAAGCAATAAGGCCCAGTGTTAATTCTATTGTAATTATTCTGCACTATAGCCTATTTATTGCCTTACCTCCATAACTTGCTACATTTGCACACACTGTATATATATTTTCTGTTGTATTTTTGACTTTATGTTTTTTACCCCATATGTAACTCTGTGTTGTTTTTATCGCTTTGCTTTATCTTGGCCAGGTCGCAGTTGTAAATGAGAACCTGTTCTCAACTGGCTTACCTGGTTAAATAAAGGTGAAATAAAAAAATTAAAAAAAGGCCCAAGGGGGTGTGGTATGTGGCTAATATAGCATGGCTAAGGGCTGTTCTTAGTCACAACACAGGGTGCCTGGATACAGCCCTTAGCGGTGGTACATTGGCCATATACCACAAACCCCCGAGGTGCCTTATTGCTATTAGAAACCGGCAGTAAAAATAAATGCCATGGTATAAGGTCTGATATACCACGGCTGTCAGCCAATCAGTGTTCAGGGCTCGACCCACTCAGTTTATAATTTGCTCTAGGCCAGGTATGATTGGTGCTAAAATACCTGACTCCAATCAACTACTCATGTTGTTCAGTTTAGAAGGCATTAAGTTTAATCAGCTGACCCCACTCTCGTCCCCGAGGACTGGCGTTGCCCATCCCTGCTGTAGGCCTACAGATGACTCTGTCGAAGCAAAATGGTAGATATACTTGAAGTTTAAATATTTATATTTAACCCAAGGCACTCAGTTGTTCTGTCTGTTTCAAAACAGATGTTAAATTCAACACCATATTATCAATGCTTCACACACTTTACGTTTTCCAAAACTCAGCTGAGACATTATTCTGATGTGTCACTAGCCTATAACATGTCTCTCACTCACCCAGGGTTTGGTTCTGGTTATGACACGGATAGGTTCGCAAACGGTTCTTCACTCTACTAGGATGGGTTGTCTAACGTTTGTTCATGATATTTGGATGCTTTGGACATCTCGCGCTGATAGCAGTGTTACCAGCGCTTTACTAACTGCTTAAGTACAGGCACTACTTATAGAATAGGTTAGTTGCTGTGAAACATGAATGCCGGCATTATGAAATTAAAGTGTACTGGCACCTTTTTCGTTCTACTTGGAGCACTGACGCAGTCTGTCATGTGCAGTATCTTAAGACAGGATGGTTGAAGGTCATGTTCAGTATGTTAAGACAGGATGGTTGAAGGTCATGTTCAGTATGTTAAGACAGGATGGTTGAAGGTCATGTCCAGTATGTTAAGACAGGATGGTTGAAGGTCATGTCCAGTATGTTAAGACAGGATGGTTGAAGGTCATGTTCAGTATGTTAAGACAGGATGGTTGAAGGTCATGTCCAGTATGTTAAGACAGGATGGTTGAAGGTCATGTTCAGTATGTTAAGACAGGATGGTTGAAGGTCATGTTCAGTATGTTAAGACAGGATGGTTGAAGGTCATGTTCAGTATGTTAAGACAGGATGGTTGAAGGTCATGTCCAGTATGTTAAGACAGGATGGTTGAAGGTCATGTCCAGTATGTTAAGACAGGATGGTTGAAGGTCATGTTCAGTATGTTAAGACAGGATGGTTGAAGGTCATGTCCAGTATGTTAAGACAGGATGGTTGAAGGTCATGTTCAGTATGTTAAGACAGGATAATAATAATAATAATAATAATATGCCATTTAGCAGACGCTTTTATCCAAAGCGACTTACAGTCATGCGTGCATACATTTTTTATTTTTTTTTTTGTGTATGGGTGGTCCCGGGGATCGAACCCACTACCTTGGCGTTACAAGCGCCGTGCTCTACCAGCTGAGCTACAGAGGACCAGGATGGTTGAAGGTCATGTTCAGTATGTTAAGACAGGATGGTTGAAGGTCATGTTCAGTATGTTAAGACAGGATGGTTGAAGGTCATGAGCAGCTTGACCTTTCAGAGATGCACCATGAACCAGAATACTGGTTCAGTTAGTGACGAGGTGTAATGACATGCAAAACATGAATAACCGTTTGAAGCATGGTTTAATTCCTGGGAGATTCTCCAAAATGATTGAGTGACACAATGGGTAATACTTGACATGAGAGGTAATTGTTTGAAATGATACATTTGGCTGCTGAAGGAGCAAGCTCAGTTGGTAGAGCATGGCGCCCAAATCTTGGATCTGTAAAGGATTCTACACTTTTCTCCGATCCAATAACGCCCTTCAATCAGTGTCTGACTCGGCAGTATACAGTAGAGTTAAACAGTCTCCCTCTTTTTCTCTCTTCTAGTGATCAGGGCAAAGGTGGTTGGAGTGGAAGCTGGGTCTGGTAACACCAAGTATGACATCCAACAGATCAAGGTATGATCAGCCTTTTTATTAAGTGGTTGTTCCTTCCTGCACTGAAACATTGAAGCTCCCTACCAGTCCTACACTATTACATTTTAATCATTTAGCAGACGCTCTTATCCAGAGCCACTTACAGTTAGTGAGGGCATACATTTTTCATACTGGCCCCCCGTGGGAAATGAACCCACAACCCTGGCGTTGCAAGAGCCATGCTCTACCAACTGAGCTACAGGGGACACTGTGGCAACATCTATATGAACTCGGCTGCCACTTCATAAAACAAAAAAGTCCCACTGTACCTAACATTAACCTTGAGACATGAGTTAGCCATCCCTGAGACCGGGTGAGGTAAAAGGCTCTGCATGGTCAATCTGACGCGTCTGTACAGCACTTACTGCCATTCAGACGTCAGGGCTTTCATACTTCTTGCGCTTAGAAGAGCTATTTTGATACAGGTGGTACCGTCAACCAATGATGTCAATGCGGCGGCCTCCACATTGTGACAACATTTGCGAGGCACACAGGGAGGCGGTCCGGAGCTTGATTTGGCCTCTGCATGGCCCCGGAGGCTCTGTAATTGTCTCACCCTCCATACGACGCCTCCGACCACATTGTCGGATCAATAATAAACTATTCCACTCTGGTGACTCCTGTCATTACTGAGTTCGGTAAATCAGCTCTTAGATTTGTTTTGCACCATATTTGTGGAACAATACTCCATGTTGTTAAATTACCTGTTTGGTGTGGCTCTTTTTGTTCTTTCTGCTTGAATTTTGGCTGAGGGGATGGGGTATAGGTAGGGAATTAGGAAAGACTGACAGTGCCTGAGAGCTGCAGTCAGTGGGGTTCAAAACCGTATGTGGACACGTTTTAACAGGTCCTCCTTTCTCTCCTTGTGATTGGATAGATGTTCAAAGGTCCTGACCGGGATATCAATGCAGTCTTCACCCCAACCTTCTGTCCCGAGACTCTGGAAACCAACAAGGAGTACCTCCTCACAGGTGCAGTTCTCACTAGGTTACCCAAGTTCCATTGCCAGCGCTGGTTAAACTGCTCAACCTAGACTTGCTTATGGCCTACTATTGACTTCACCTTGTACAAGGAAACGAGTGCCTTAGAAACAATACATTCTCTGTACATATTCAGGTTGCACTTTATGTCTTGCAAATGCTTACGTTTATGAATTTAAACCATTAAATGCTTATGAAACAATGTTTATTATGCTTATAAATGTTTACAACTAATGACTTATTTAGTATTATTTATTAGGATAAACTCCAGCGTTCCGGGCTGCATCAGTGTGTTCCCGCTCTATGGTGACGTTTCCCCCCCCAGGAACAGATCTGGGATCAGTTTCCCCTAACCTTAACCATCAGTGTGTGTTCCCGCTCTGGGGGGGATGTTTCCCCCCCCAGGAACAGATCTGGGATCAGTTTCCCCTAACCTTAACCATCAGTGATCCTAGATCAGCGTGTAAGGGGCCGCTTCACCCTACACCAGGTTTTCCCTACAGCACATTGACTCACTATCTCCTCTCCTTATGCAGGCAGGCTGAATACCGATGGAACGATGAACATAATGAGGTGTGACTTCAGTAGGACCTGGGAGGCCTCGAGTGACACACAACTGATGCGCTTGATTCAACGCTACCAAAGCGGCTGCGACTGCAAGGTGTGACGTGGAACTATAGTAATATTACTACACCAGTTTTGTTCAATATTTACACAGCACATTTTCTTAAAGGGATCATAAACTGGGTGGTTCAACCCCTGATTGGCTGAAAGCTGTGGTATATCAGACCGTATACCACGGGTATTACTAAACATTACTACTTACTCTTCTAATGAAGTTGGTGACCTGTTCTTATAATCACAATAAGGAACCTTGGGTTTGGTGACCTGTTCTTATAATCACAATAAGGAACCTTGGGTTTGGTGACCTGTTCTTATAATCACAATCAGGAACCTTGGGTTTGTGGCATGTGGCCAATATTACCACAGCTAAGGGCTGTTCTTATGCACGACGCGATGAAGACTGCCTAAGAACCACCCGTAGCATATTGGCGCTATACCACAAACCCCCGAGATGCCTTATAGCTTAACACTACTCTGGTCACATTGGGAAACATGTGCTAGAGTATTGGGGTAATGATCAGTCTCTCCCTGCTCTGATCCACAGATCATCCCCTGCTCTTCCCTCCCCTGTCCGATCAGCTCCCCGGATGAGTGCCTGTGGACGGACTGGTTGTCCGGCAATGGCCAAAGTGGACCTCAGACCCAAAGCTTTGCCTGTCTCAAGAGGAGAGACGGGTTCTGTGCCTGGTACAGCATGAGTGCGCAGCCCGAGAAGTAGTTCCTGGTTATTGAAGATCCCTCCACTCTACAGGCCGTCCACTCACTGCTCATAGTGACTAAAGATGCCTGCAATTAATAAAACAAATTAAACACTAAGCTACAAATCCATTTTATTTCGATGAATCAATAAAGCAGTTCACCACCGTTAACTACAAGACTCATATTGACTGGGCAAGTTGTGATGTCACAGAGGTCAGGTGGCGGGTTCCAGTCACGTAGAGGTCAGGTGGCGGGTTCCAGTCACGTAGAGGTCAGGTGGCGGGTTCCAGTCACGTAGAGGTCAGGTGGCGGGTTCCAGTCACGTAGAGGTCAGGTGGCGGGTTCCAGTCACGTAGAGGTCAGGTGGCGGGTTCCAGTCACGTAGAGGTCAGGTGGCGGGTTCCAGTCACGTAGAGGTCAGGTGACGGGTTCCAGTCACGTAGAGGTCAGGTGGCGGGTTCCAGTCACGTAGAGGTCAGGTGGCGGGTTCCAGTCAGGTGGCGGGTTCCAGTCACGTAGAGGTCAGGTGGCGGGTTCCAGTCACGTAGAGGTCAGGTGGCGGGTTTCAGGAACTAGTCAGTGTGAAATGGATCAGTCTTATGAAAACAGCACTTTGATTTGTTTACTGGTCACTACTTGTACACAAGTGCATAAAAAAAACTACCAATCCAATATAGCGCTTCAAGTATTACTTGATGTTGTGCCGTTCATTTGTCCCTCTCTTTTAAACTGGAACCTAGGGTATTAAAGGGTGATATCAGTGGTGGCCCATGTGGTGGTATTTAGAACTGGAACAGTATTCCTGGGAAATGCCATCCTAGAGCCTAGGGTGTGTTCAGCTGGGCACAATGTTGTAGAACGTTAAGATACTGTAAACACAGGCTTCTATGACATGAAAGAAGGGAAACATGTCAACTCTGTTCATGGCATTTCTATCTGCAACATTCAACATTTGTCTACTGAATGTTTCCCTGAAGTAGTTTGGGTTTAAACCAGGGCTTCAGCTTTAATGTCATTGATCAAATTAAAGATGACTCCGATTCTTCCTTGCTTTGTAAGTCTGTTCTTGGTGTATATTCTTCAGTGGGAAGAATATTCTGTTAATTATGTACAATGCCACGTGCTAGTTGGAACTAGGGAACTTGACATTTCCGACTTGCTAACTGCTTGGACACTGAACAAAAATATAAACACATGTAAAGTGTTGTACTGTATGCTGGAGCAGTCTACTGTATGCTGGAGCAGTCTACTGTATGGTGGAGCAGTCTACTGTATGGTGGAGCAGTCTACTGTATGCTGGAGCAGTCTACTGTATGGTGGAGCAGTCTACTGTATGCTGGAGCAGTCTACTGTATGCTGGAGCAGTCTGCTGTATGGTGGAGCAGTCTACTGTATGGTGGAGCAGTCTGCTGTATGGTGGAGCAGTCTGCTGTATGGTGGAGCAGTCTACTGGAGCAGTCTGCTGTATGCTGGAGCAGTCTACTGTATGGTGGAGCAGTCTGCTGTATGGTGGAGCAGTCTACTGTATGCTGGAGCAGTCTGATGGAGCAGTCTACTGTATGCTGGAGCAGTCTACTGTATGGTGGAGCAGTCTACTGTATGCTGGAGCAGTCTGATGGAGCAGTCTACTGTATGCTGGAGCAGTCTACTGTATGGTGGAGCAGTCTACTGTATGGTGGAGTAGTCTACTGTATGCTGGAGCAGTCTACTGTATGATGGAGCAGTCTACTGTATGCTGGAGCAGTCTGGTGGAGCAGTCTACTGTATGCTGGAGCAGTCTGCTGTATGGTGGAGCAGTCTGCTGTATGCTGGAGCAGTCTACTGTATGCTGGAGCAGTCTACTGTATGGTGGAGTAGTCTACTGTATGCTGGAGCAGTCTGGTGGAGCAGTCTACTGTATGCTGGAGCAGTCTACTGTATGCTGGAGCAGTCTGCTGTATGGTGGAGCAGTCTGCTGTATGGTGGAGCAGTCTGCTGTATGGTGGAGCAGTCTACTGTATGGTGGAGCAGTCTACTGTATGGTGGAGCAGTCTACTGTATGGTGGAGCAGTCTACTGTATGCTGGAGCAGTCTACTGTATGCTGGAGCAGTCTACTGTATGCTGGAGCAGGCTACTGTATGGTGGAGCAGTCTACTGTATGCTGGAGCAGTATGCTGGAGCAGTCTACTGTATGCTGGAGCAGTCTACTGTATGCTGGAGCAGTCTACTGTATGGTGGAGCAGTCTACTGTATGATGGAGCAGTCTACTGTATGCTGGAGCAGTCTACTGTATGCTGGAGCAGTCTACTGTATGATGGAGCAGTCTACTGTATGCTGGAGCAGTCTACTGTATGCTGGAGCAGTCTACTGTATGATGGAGCAGTCTACTGTATGCTGGAGCAGTCTACTGTATGGTGGAGCAGTCTACTGTATGATGGAGCAGTCTACTGTATGATGGAGCAGTCTACTGTATGATGGAGCAGTCTACTGTATGCTGGAGCAGTCTACTGTATGCTGGAGCAGTCTACTGTATGATGGAGCAGTCTACTGTATGCTGGAGCAGTCTACTGTATGATGATCCCTATCATTACCAGTAGAACCCCTCGATGACCCTCTACTTTAGAAGGGGGAAGACTAACTCTCTCAGGGTTAGATATTGATATCCCCACAGACACACACAGACACACACCACATACACAAACATATAAACAGACACACACCACACACACAAACATATAAACAGACACACACCAAACTGCTAGTGCTCTGAATCATCCTCCTAAGAAAAAAGCAGATGGTATTACTAGGCCATATTTAATCAGGGTCTGTTTGCTCAGCCCCAGCCTTATAGCCATGTTATGTAAGGCTGACGTGCCTCTCATCCCAGCACAGCACAGGTTCATTTTGGTATGTTAATGTTCCCATCTACGTTTACATGTTGGTCATTCAGCAGACACTCACATCCAGAGGGACTTAGTCAGTGCATTCAACTATGGTAGATAAACAACAGCATATCTCAGTCAGAGCAAGTCAAACATGTCTGTAACCGTTACTGAGAATGTTGTTGCTGTTCGGGCTGGCTGCTTGCAAATGTATTTCTGTATTTTAAATAAATTTCTAAATACAGGGTATAAATACAGGGTATTTTGTTGTTTATTTTTATACATTACTGCTTATTGTATTTCAAAATTGTATTTTGTAATTATATTTTATAATTTTCCCCATCCCTGGCTATAGGGTGGCTCAGCATCACCCTCTCTGAACAACACAGGGTAGGGTGGCTCAGCATCACCCTCTCTGAACAACACAGGGTAGGGTGGCTCAGCATCACCCTCTCTGAACAACACAGGGTAGGGTGGCTCAGCATCACCCTCTCTGAACAACACAGGGTAGGGTGGCTCAGCATCAAACCTCTCTGAACAACACAGGGTAGGGTGGCTCAGCATCACCCTCTCTGAACAACACAGGGTAGGGTGGCTCAGCATCACCCTCTCTGAACAACACAGGGTAGGGTGGCTCAGCATCATTCCTCTCTGAACAACACAGGGTAGGGTGGCTCAGCATCAAACCTCTCTGAACAACACAGGGTAGGGTGGCTCAGCATCACCCTCTCTGAACAACACAGGGTAGGGTGGCTCAGCATCAAACCTCTCTGAACAACACAGGGTAGGGTGGCTCAGCATCACCCTCTCTGAACAACACAGGGTAGGGTGGCTCAGCATCATTCCTCTCTGAACAACACAGGGTAGGGTGGCTCAGCATCACCCTCTCTGAACAACACAGGGTAGGGTGGCTCAGCATCATTCCTCTCTGAACAACACAGGGTAGGGTGGCTCAGCATCACCCTCTCTGAACAACACAGGGTAGGGTGGCTCAGCATCATTCCTCTCTGAACAACACAGGGTAGGGTGGCTCAGCATCACCCTCTCTGAACAACACAGGGTAGGGTGGCTCAGCATCAAACCTCTCTGAACAACACAGGGTAGGGTGGCTCAGCATCATTCCTCTCTGAACAACACAGGGTAGGGTGGCTCAGCATCAAACCTCTCTGAACAACACAGGGTAGGGTGGCTCAGCATCAAACCTCTCTGAACAACACAGGGTAGGGTGGCTCAGCATCACCCTCTCTGAACAACACAGGGTAGGGTGGCTCAGCATCACCCTCTCTGAACAACACAGGGTAGGGTGGCTCAGCATCACCCTCTCTGAACAACACAGGCTAGGGTGGCTCAGCATCACCCTCTCTGAACAACACAGGCTAGGGTGGCTCAGCATCACCCTCTCTGAACAACACAGGGTAGGGTGGCTCAGCATCACCCTCTCTGAACAACACAGGGTAGGGTGGCTCAGCATCACCCTCTCTGAACAACACAGGCTAGGGTGGCTCAGCATCATCCTCTCTGAACAACACAGGGTAGGGTGGCTCAGCATCACCCTCTCTGAACAACACAGGCTAGGGTGGCTCAGCATCAACCTCTCTGAACAACACAGGGTAGGGTGGCTCAGCATCACCCTCTCTGAACAACACAGGCTAGGGTGGCTCAGCATCACCCTCTCTGAACAACACAGGGTAGGGTGGCTCAGCATCACCCTCTCTGAACAACACAGGCTAGGGTGGCTCAGCATCACCCTCTCTGAACAACACAGGCTAGGGTGGCTCAGCATCACCCTCTCTGAACAACACAGGGTAGGGTGGCTCAGCATCACCCTCTCTGAACAACACAGGCTAGGGTGGCTCAGCATCACCCTCTCTGAACAACACAGGCTAGGGTGGCTCAGCATCACCCTCTCTGAACAACACAGGGTAGGGTGGCTCAGCATCACCCTCTCTGAACAACACAGGCTAGGGTGGCTCAGCATCACCCTCTCTGAACAACACAGGCTAGGGTGGCTCAGCATCACCCTCTCTGAACAACACAGGGTAGGGTGGCTCAGCATCACCCTCTCTGAACAACACAGGCTAGGGTGGCTCAGCATCACCCTCTCTGAACAACACAGGCTAGGGTGGCTCAGCATCACCCTCTCTGAACAACACAGGG